GGTACAAGCCTGGCAAATTCAAACGTGTCCACGACAAGGCATTATTGTGCGCCTTCGTCTAACCAAGCTTGGATGGTACGACCCAACGTCAGGCTGACCAGTGGTTGGTAGTGCAGTAAAAGTAAAGTAGCTATGCGTACGGAAACGCAAATGTACGCCCAGCAACTCATTGTTGGGGACGTCGGCAACCGAAAGATGAGGAATGTTAAGGATCCGAAGTGCTAAACGGGTGCTGTTGTGGAAAGGCCTCGACCTCTCGATATCCACCTACAGTTGTAGACCGCTGTGGAAGGATGACCTCATGAACCATCTTCTCCTGAAAATCGATAGAACATCATGCGACATTCTTGATGTGTGTAAAACATGATGAAGGACCGAATATATCGTAACCTGGAAGGTGGACAAGCGATTTTGCTCGGCATTGGAGAGAGACAAGGAGACGTTGTCAGAGTTGGGTTTATCGTCAGGTAGGCAGTGATCTCCACAAATCACCTTTTGTCATTAAGATTCGGCATACCCTTGCTCAGGCTAAATTCTAATAAAACCCCCAAAATCATCCAAGTCTACGCTTCCACCATGGTCAGCGATGGGGATGAGGTGAAGCTCAAATCCGCATTAATCACCAAGTCCACATACACGGTTGTTATGGGAGATTTCAGTGCAAAGTTTGAGCGAAGGAAGGGGATGGAGAGAAGTACATTGGCAAATATGGCATTTCCAAGAGGAACAACAGGCGTGAAAAGTTAGCTACAATGGCGAAGGCGAACAAAATGTTTGTTGGCAATGCTTGGTTCCGAAAAGATTCGAGCCAGAAATGAACTTGGATTGTTCCGAACACCAAAAAAAGAGCGGGACCGATTTCGCCTTAGTCGATATCTTTAGATTGGAAGGATGGCCTGAAGGTGAATGGTGAATAGCTGAACCATTTGTGCTTCGTAGATAACATAGTGTCTGATTAGTTAAAAAGTGGATCAGGTCATAGCTGTCGATGTAAGCGCTAACAGCTTATACGAAGTCTAAAAGACGGCCTTTTCGCGGCTTAAAAAAATGACAAATGTGAAAAGAAGCGCCCTTTTTTGAGAGCTTTTGCGATGAGCGGTGTAATCCTTGATTTATTAGTGTTTTGGTATAATTTGTTGGGGTTTTTCTTGCGACCTCGGTCTTACTGAGATGTTGTTAGTAGTTGAGGTCAGTGTGGAAGGGGAGGGAGAGAGGAGGGGGCGGGGGTGCGTTCCGGTCTCGTTGTACCTTCGAACGCGGTGTGTTGTTCGGAGGTGGTTATTGCTTAGAGGCGGGCTATAGCGGGGGGCCTTTCCTGAAATGCCTGCAAGTGGGATTAGTGATATTATATTAATTAAATTCAATTAAATTAAATTCAGTGAGGTGTATCTCGTTTTAGTTATGCCGAATAGCGAATGAAGTGTACCAGCAGTACAATCGTGGACAATACTGTATGCTAATTCTCTTTGTTGATGTTCCTCCTGGTTTGTTCTTCTTTTTTTTGGTATAAGCCCATTAAATTTATAGAAAAAAAAAAAAAAAACAATGTGCAATAGCAAAAAGCAGTGTATTCTTCTAAGTGAATAAATAATTAGCGGTACACACCAAAATGATTGGTGCGATCATGCTTTTGTTTATGGGAGATCTAAATGGCACTTCCAGTTTTTTCATAAATTTAATTGTTTTCCCCTCCACGATGGGCCAGTAACACCAAACAAACTGCATGTGTTAAAGCTTGGACGATTTCAGGCCCTCGGCCTTTTTCGATCTAACTTGGGGGATATTCAAAATCCTGGGCTACATGCCTACAATAAGTACCATCGTCTGTTCTATGGAAATGCGCCGTCTCTTCGGGTTTGGCCTGAATGTTTGCTTACTATCCTGTTGGTGCCATTCACTATTGTGCATCGTACACCGGTTGTCGGCAAGGCGAACAACATGTCCGCATAGGGGACATTTTCTTGAAATTTCGGCTTCCCGCCTTTTGTCCCTCGTTTATGTCTCTAAAATTTCTAAAACACTTTGTGTAATTCTGTCTAGCAGATGTTTGCTGTTAAAATTTTCACTGTTTTGCTACTTGCCATGTTCTGTTCGGCCAAAATTTACATTCTTCGGCATGTGAGATTTACGCGGAAATTGAATCCAAATTTCTGGAACTGCACATTGACATGAATCAGAGGTACCAAATCCGCTCAAATTATCCTTTGTTAGCGCTATTGTTAGGATCCCCCACACACTGAGCGCAGCTATGCCAGGCTCTTAAGATTCCCTGGGCTGCATGCCTACAATAAGCACCCCTCGTCTGTTCTATGGATATGCGCCGTCTCTTCGGATGTCGCCTGAGTATTCGCTTACTATCCCGTGGGTGCTACTGACTGTTATGCATCGTATACCGTATACCGATTGTCGGCAAGGCGAACAGCTCGTCCGCGCAGGAAATTTTTTGTTGAAATTTCGGCTTCTTGCCTTTTCTGGTTGCGGAGTTGGGAAATTTGCTGCCAAAAGTGCAAGTATTCTTACGTAAAGCAGAGACGCATGTGGAAGCTGAATGTGAAGTTTTCAGCGTTTCACTTAAATCTTAATCCTTCTTAATTCTAAATTCTAAATAAATTCTAAATCTTAATCCTTCTTAATATATCCTTCTTGAGCCTTAATCCCCAAGTTTTTCTGATCTCCAAGCTAATCGTTTTCCATTAAAATCTGGCGTGCCTGTATGTGGAATTTAGTTGCTCGTAAGAGATGAATTTGAAATCTGAATTCTGCGCATGCATTGAACGTCATTGTAAAATTCCAGCTTAACCCTTCTGGTTCCCGGATTAGTGATTTTCGCGCCAAAACTTTTGCACGGCCGCGCGTGAGACCTAGGCCTATTGAAGGCTGAATTTAAAATTTGCTGGGTTTCCTAAAATTTCCTGGCTTTTCTGGTTCTTGAGCCAAAATTTTCTCGCGACTGTACGTGAAGTTTAGACGTAAATGGGGGCTGGATTTTGAGTTTGCATAGATAATATACGGGCAGAGGGCTTCCTCCTAAAATTTCAGCTTCCTAGCTTTTCTGGTTCTCCATTTGAAAACCGCGGATAAAATAAACTAGAAACAGACACACAGAGTCTTGATAGTATGCGTTTTAGGTGTTAAATGAAAATAATGTAAATTTAGCCAAGGATTTAAATGTAGAGCAAACTTTTTTTTCGGAGGATTTCAAGGGTTCCATGGATGTTTAGGATTTGTGCCATTAGCATGCAGCTTCATCTGTAGATTCAGCATTCCAGTACTTATCACAAAAAAAGAAATAAGAATTTTGATTTTTGATTGATTTTGATTTTAATATTGATTTTGAACTGATTGAATGAGTATTCTGGTTTTGATTTTGAATCGGTTTTGAATTTCGAATTTTGAATTGAAGTGATTTTGAAATAAGAACTGATTGGTACTGAATGAGTATTCTGACATACTACTGGTGCTTCTAAAAGACGGAATTTTGTGTAGAGTTTGGCAACGGAATTTAGTCCCTGTGGATGTTCTGTGTAACTAAGTGTAAGCCGTTATGCTTTTCTACTTTTACTGAAGAAAACTTTCCATTTCCAGAAAGTATTGACGTGAACATTTCGCCCGATAAACGATCGGTGTTTTTTGAACGTGAAAAAGAACTGTTTGCGTTGTTACGTGCATCATTACTGGCCACTTTTGCACCACATCTTGGCCATGCTGGTTCTTTAAATACTCCAATAAGCAATGATCTTCCACTGTCAGGTAATTCTTTGTTTTGTTTTGCTTTTCTTAAGAAGACTTCGGAGGGGAGGGATGTGTTTTTTCCAGATATTTTTTGGAGAAAACTCTTAGTATGACGGGTGGAATGCCACTGTAGAAATGTTAATTTGCGTTGTTTGCATAATTTTTTTTAGAGAATTTCACTTGTTTTATGAAATGTGCTAGAAATATAGATCTTCATAGCCAGAGGAAATGGTTGTCCATGGAAATTTGTACCACATTTTTAAGGCCGATTAAGTGAAAGCAATAAATGAATGTGT